AAACTTTAATATAAGTTTAACATGACAGCAAATGTACAACGTTTCGAGAAGGTTTTGTCATCATCATGATCCCAATTTTACATATATATATATAAATGGGTATTACTCTTATGAGCAGGTTTGGTACAAATTGATTTTGAAGGATAAGAATCATTATTAAGATTTGTATTGCATTTTAAATGTGTAGCCAGATGTTCCGTGAAGAATTGGAAAGAATTTTTGAGTCACAGAATGAAGGTTACAATCCTGCCAGCCTATCAGCTTTACAGCAAGTTCGTGACCTCCTCCTCCCTTCTCGAGGATCATCAGCTTATCAAGTATCTCGAAACATAATTCCAATCAATGACATTCGTGGTGTGGATTGCCTCAAGTATGGAAAAGGAGAGAAATTACTAAGATGTAAACTTGCTTCTGTTTTCAGGCTTTTAGATATGTATGGTTGGACAGAAAACGTTTATAACCACATCACGGTAAGTTTACAGATTTTGTTGTGCAGCAGTAGAATGGTCTGATTCAGATTTAATTATCATTGTTTGTGGTTTAATTTTAACATTTCATTTGTGAAGAAGACTAATTTGTCTCTTGAAAGTGGTTGAGCAATCAGGATTTTAAAATAATGATAGTTTGGGTAAAATTTTGCTTGAAGCTTAACAGTGATACTTGGTGTGTTGATTTGTATTAAAACATTTTAAAGTTCGTAATGGAAAGTTCATTTTAGTGCAAAAAGAATAAACGTTTCTCTTTCCATTGGCTGGCAAAATTGGGATATAAATATATATGTATGATCTCAAAATTCTCAAAATATTTTGATAAATCAAATAAGTAGCCAAACATAGTTGAAACTTGGTTTAAAAAGAGAATGTTTTTTGTTTTTTTTATTTGTGAATTATGTTTAATACTTAGAAAATTGCATAGAATGTAAGTAACTTGATCAGCTGAAGATGCCTCAACAATTAAAGAAATTTATGTATGTACAGGATGTCCAAAAATTTTGGAAACACTTTTGAAAAAATCATACCAAAATATATTTAGAATGCTACTATAATTTTTCATGATTTCCAAATATTCTCTAATAATTAATTTGTTTTTTGATCAATCTGATTAATTAATTGAACATTGTCAACTGATAGATTGAGCAGTGTTTGCCACATGTTCAGTCAAAGCTGATTCATTAATTTTATGTTTACCTATAGCACTTTTATTTTCCTTAACTCTAAATGTTACATTCCTACATGTGTGACCAATGTAAACTGAAGTACAATTACATGGAATATTATTAATACCACATTTATCATTCTGTTCTACTTTGTTGTTAAGACCATGGGAAATTGTATAACCCCTGGTCACAGGGGGTTTTTGTCTGTTTTCTTTAGGTTTGTATTTAGAGCTTTAAAGATCTGTACCTGTTATAAAGACTTAATGTTGGAATTCAATTATGTTAAGTTGTTACCTTAGATAGAGGATTTAATCCTAACATTATTGAGAAGATTTATAATTAGTGGTGTAATAAGATGAAGGTATATCACAACATACCAAATGACATTTGAATAATTTTATAGATAGTATGAAGATACGCCTGTCATATGGTTATAGTATCTCCACACAAATAGGTAATATATTAAAAAATCTTATTAACTGTAGTGTAATGTTTTCTCCCTGTTATAAGGTAAGAAATATAAACAATGGTCTTAAAAACAAAGAAGAACTGGATGATAAATGTGGTTTTGGTAAAAACTCCATGTAATTGCAGTTTAATTTACATTGGTCAGATGTGTAGAAGTTTAACATTTAGAACTAAGGAACATAAACAGATACTACAGATAGCATATAGTTAATGAATTGGTCTTGGCTGAACATGTGGCAAGCACCACTCATTTTACCAATTGCCATAATGTTCAATTGGTTTTATAATAGGATTGATGATAAAAAAATAATTAAATATTAGAGAATCTTTGGAAATCATGAAAAACTATAGTATTATTCTAAATAATGATGGTTCTCTGGCTATTATAGACATTAATTTTTGTAAATCTATTTTGTAAGTGTAGAGGTTGTAACAGATTGACTAATTATGTTAAATTATTTAATATTTGTATACACATGCAGTTGTTAAGGTATATATATAAGCAGTCTCGTATAACTTCTTGCTTCTCCTAATGATGGAAGTGTAGGTAACTATTGAAACATCTAGAGAATATCTAACAGGGATTGATGCACTATTTTTTAGTTTTATTTTGCAATACATTTTAACATTATTAATCTTTGCATAAGTGCCATTTTTTTTAGTATTTTCGATGTACAGACATTGAACGTTTGTATAGAATAAATGTGTAGTCACAGAAAATTTAAGATTTTTTTCCCTTTGTTATTGTAGTGAAACTTGTTTAACAAGTTTCCAACTTCCATTAGTGGAAGTAGTTTGCACTTGCCAACCAAACTTCAGGAATAAAATATTCTTGCAGTTGACAGTATGTCTATTCCCTTTAAGCCACAGTATTCCATAGGCTATTATAATGCTCTTAACAAGTATCATAACTAGAGAGAGAAAGTGGAACTTTGGAGTTAAGTTAAAACAGTAATTGTGTATAAATTTTATTTCTCAAGTTACGAGTGAGTCCAGACCAGGAGCATTTCTTGCTCAACCCATTTGGCTTACAGTATAATGAAGTCACTGCTGCCTCGCTACTCAAGGTTGACATGCAAGGTAACGTGGTAGATCCTGGGACCACTAACTTCAGTTTCAATAGGGCCAACTTCATTCTTCACTCAGTTATACACGCAGCTCGTTCAGACGTGAATTGTGTTGTTCATATTAAGCACCCAGCATGTGTTGCGGTAAGTTGTATTAGTCATAACGTAACTCATGTTTAATATTTTAAAACTGTCAAAACTGTTACATGTTTATTAAGAAATTGATTCATTTTTGGATCATCTATTAGTGTTATGATTAGAATGATATTTTTTTACATTATAAAAAAATGTAAGGTTATGGTGATCAAGTATTACAATTTCTTGACTGTAATGAAATGTTAAAAAATGATTTGTCAGAAGATATGTGTGGTTAAAGCAACATGTTTGTATTTTAATTTTATATATTTCTACAAGTGTAATAGCTTCAAATGTATTCATAAAAAAGAACTTGCTTTACATTACAGAATTTTCACTGTAATTAGATAAGGTGTATGTGGATTGTACATTTCAAATTGTAACTTATTTATTTCAATAATATATGTTATTAAATTTGCAAGTGCTACAGGGTTTTCCCCAGCCTTTTTTAGTGCATCAGTGCCAATTCTCTTTTTTTCTTTCCATGTGCACCAATATACTAAAATATATAATTGATACTTCTTTTGATTGGTAACTGTACTCTGTAATGACTGTTGTCCGTGTTTCGAGTACGAGCAAGTGTTGTTTTTTTTCCCACGTACCAAAAGTGGCACGCACCACGTGCATGCATCGGGCATACTGATTCATGGTATTTCTAGCACCATATTTTCTGGTCTTGAACCAGTGTACTCACTTCACTCACGTGTTTAGCCTGACACATTGCTTTATTGTTTTTATCCGGAGAGAACCCTGTATTCTATCAGTGCATTTTCATAGTTTCGTATTATAGTTAAGAACCAAGATCAGGCACAGTAATTCATCTTAGTAGTCTGTTTGATGCTTTTGTGTGTATTTTAACCCCTTATCATCCATGGAAGGTTTTTTACATTACTGTAGCATGGTGCGAGACATTTAAATTGCATGTGATACACTTGGCATATATATGGGTGGATATATATAAGCATTTTAGCATTTAGTTTGTCTGATCCTTTCTAGAATATGGTAGTGTTAGTGTTTACTTAAAAAAACATTTACACACATTGCTGTTGTGTAGGAAATTAAGCTTTAATTAAAAGATTGTTGGCCATCTTGTGATAGATGATCATCTGGGAACAGTAGAATTATATTTTAAAATTATGTTTTGATTTCACATCTTATTTGTTTTTAAATTACTTTAGTATCATATGTCTACTACAAATTGTGGATTATGAATAAATTTTGTCACAATACAAATGGCTGTTGTAATTCAAAATGTTTTAAGTTTGATTGTAATAAAATTATTCTTTGACAGGTATCAGCATCCAAATATGGATTGCTTCCTACTTGCCAGGAAGCTGCCATTATTGGAGAAGTTAGCTATCATGAATACCAAGGGATTATTATTGATCGTGAAGAACGAGAATTAATCATCAAAAATCTTGGCCCTGTTAACAAGGTAAATTAGGAATATTGTTTAGATGTTTGTGGTTAAAATTTTGAAAAGTGTGTTGATGAGGAATGTGTTGATCACAAACATTTTGACCTAGGTAAGTAGGTTAGAAATATTGTTTAGTTGTTTGTAGTTAAAGTTTTAAAAAGTGTGTTGATCAGGAAGAAAGAGTTGGTCACAAATATTTTGACCTAGGTAAATAGGTTAGAAATATTGTTTGAACGTTGCGTGTGTGGTTAATATTTTGAATAATATCATTATAAGAAAGAGAGAGAGCTGGTCATAAGAATCTTGGCTCTGTTAAATAGCTTTACAGAAATTTTTTGTGGATTTTGGAGCAGTATGTTTTAAACCTTACATGAATGGTGGATATTCTGATTACTCTTGAGTGCACACTTTTAAATTAACTTTGAAAATTTGGTTCAAAAATATAACTAGTGCTTCTGTTTTCATAGGTGGTATTGCACTGGTGCATGCAAATGTTCATAAATGTTATTTTACAAGTAGTTTTTACAGCCCTGTCAATAAATGATATGATACCCAATCTTTTTTGTATGTCATGGGAGAGCTTTAGAAAGAATGAGAAAAAATACAATGTTATATCATTTATTGGAAATAATGTTGTCACATTCTGTCTTAGATTTTTGTTTCATGACATATGGTAATCATAACATCCAGTTGCTGTGTGCATACACAGTGCTTTGATTTGGCCTAGTGATCTGATGTGAATGAACTATACACCTGGAAAAAAGTTAAGCACCCCCGTGTTTTTTTTCA